TTTAAGAACTCTTTCCAGACAATTATCTTGAAAACACCTTGATAAGAAGTTTCTTCCTCAATTCAAGAAACCTAGCACGGATTGATTTTTGTTTTATTTTAAATTATGTTTATCTGAAAGCATATCTATCTGCTTAATTTCAGTGCATCCTGAATATTACATATTCTCTGTTCTTATTGTTGGTATATAGATTTTATATATATTTTTTTTATTTCTACGCTCTTTTTCCTAGGCTTGCTCTGTTAACTCTTCCTTTAATTTTCAACTAATTAAGATGTGACTATGGATTAAAAAGCAGCATGGCAGTAAAATGGCTCAGGAAAAAAAAAAAAAAATGAAGTAGATTGAACAGTGAAAAGTTGTATGATGGTTTTCGGCTTGGTGAGAAAGAAAAGAATATAGTGGATTTTCATAAAATGCTTCATTTACTTGCATATAACATATGAAAGAAGTACCTAATAGACTAACACTGCCAAGGTAGTAATGCATGTGTTGTAAGTCACAAGTAAGTTCACAGGAAACAATGTTTCCTTTTCTCCCATGCATGCATTTATACTTCTATCAGTATGGAATCAGCACAAAAATGAAGAGAAATTCTAGAGCTGCTGAAAGGGTAGGCACAAGATAAGTTGTCACATAAAATATGCAATAATACATTGCTAATTACAATCTACTTGTCAGAGCTGTGTATAGCAGACACAGTAGCATGTAACTAAACTAGGAAGGAACCCCTGCCTATGAGCTTCTAACAGATTTTAGGTTCTTTCTCAGGATTCTATGGCACTAGGGTAAGTTGAGGATGGAAGTGTAAGAAGAGATAGTATGAGATGAGCAGAATATGACAATTCTGTCTTCCCCTATGATTGTCTGATTTACACCTGTTTGTTCAGAAAAATCTGAAGGAGAGAGCAAAGAGAACCTACCCACTGTATTGAGGACAATGCTTTGGTCAGTTCTCTAGACCATGAGCAATGTTCACTACAATGCAGTGCATCCTACCATTTGGGGAGATTGTGCATCTTTTTGATTATTGGCCCAATCCAGAAAATTCACAAATCACAGACTCATTGAAATTGGAGTTCAAAGGACATATTTTCATTAGCCAATCTGAAATAAAAGTGTGTTAGAAACAGTAGAAGTTTTGAGGATAATTATCTACAGTTTCCTTAGGTGGTTGCTAATGGGTATGAGCAGAGAAAAAACAGGGGAAGGAGTTATTGAATTACAGTGTTGGCATAGTGGTAACAGTATTTCTTCTTTTCTGTTTAATAAATGTATTTGGTAGGATTAAAAGAGCTACTGGTATTCACTGATGAACACAAGGTTTATAAATATTTAAGAGTGGAAAATAACCTCAGTATTTATTCAAGAAATGTCTTAGGAAATTCAGCCTAGATCTGACTAAGAATGTATGACAACAGCTGGGAAGAAAGTTAAGGAGTAAATATAATGCTGTCACAGTACTATAATCACTTTTATCAATTTTATTTCCAAGGGAGAAACATGTTTCGAACAGCATAACTGAGAAATCATAGAGTAGAAATTTTCAAGAAAATAGGGACATGATTTTATTTTTAATGTAACAGATTTGTCCCTATGTTTGCAGAACAGATAGTCAGCTTATGGGTATATATTTTTTAATCTGCTCATCAAGAAGAGCAGTTCAACCGTTTCAAGCACCGAATGCTCTAGAAATAAAAAACGGTGATGAAGAACATGGTAATTTGGGACCCTATTGTATTTAAAGGCATTAAAAAAAACTACTAAGCCCTAAGGTATTATGCAGTAATTATTATTTTAAATAGAAATGTAAAGACAAATTGTAACCTCTTCTGAAATTGACCAAGATTTGATGTTTTCTTCTAGTAGAAAACTGAATCCTTAGCGCTATTTCTAGTGGCTTTCTTGAACAGAAGATAACATCTGGACTTTACTTGTCTGGAATATTAGGAGAAGTGCCAGATGAAAGAGAACAGAAGTTCTAGGCATGTAGCCAATTCTGTACTATAGTCAAAGCTTTCGTAGCAAGCTCAAAGATTGGTGTGCCTCCAAGATATTTTTATACACAGACACTCTTGGATAATTAGGAGAAATTAGTTAAGGAATGAAGATAGGCTGCATTAAACTCTGTATGAGCATTCTCTTTCAGAACAGTGGCCTTGGATTACTTTAGCCAACCTTTCTATGAAATAAACAGCAGCACAAGAGTTGCATGATGGAGTTCTGTAAACGCCTTCAGTCGATTCTTTTTAACTTCTACAAGAATCTTTTTGCAGATGGATTCAAATTCTTACTCAGTGATGGTCTATGTCAGGATCACAATAAGTCTAGGTGAAGTGATCAGGGTTCAAGCTTTAAAAGGCAACTGAGCATCCCAAAACTGAAGATTTGGACCTGAAGCTGAGATTTTCAACCTGATGTGGTTGAAGTTTTGACAGTGTAGTGGGTCTTCTCCAGTCTATGCAAAAACATACAAAAAAACAAAGCCCAAACCACCCATAATCAGTAAGTGGTTAAGAATGTATTGCTTCTTGGATCTTCAGTGCCATTTAATAAACTAAAAAATACAATATTCAAAGCACATCTTAAGTCATTTCCTGACACGACACGCTACTACTATTTCCTCTCCCAGGATACTGTACTCACTCAGAGACACTCATGTGTCTCTGAACAATCACTTGCTTCTAATATTTGCAAGTGTTAGTCTCTAGAAGTCAACCCACAGTGCTCAGTTAATTCCCTTTTGAAACGGTTACGATAGTCACTCTTTCAGCAAGTGTCAAAATGATATATATTTCTTCTTTCAAGGAAATATTTTTGTTTTTTACAATCTAATCTCCTTCAGTTCTTTTCCAAGTGAACAGAAGTTGTTTTTTCAATATTTATGATGATTCCAGTTATACTAAACCATCATTTTTAACTAAAACAAAGAGAAAAGAAAAAAAAAAATTCAAATAGAATGCTTATAACCATGTTAGTTTTTTTGGTTCTTTAAGAATGCACTACAACAAACTAAAAAAGCTGGAATCCTACCTGTTTATTTTCTTCATTTCCTTTCCCTGATTTGCCGTTTTTAGCTGACCTAAGGTTAAAAAAGTTCAAACATCAAGGCTTTATGATTTCACTTGTTAAAAGCAGATACAGAAATAAAACATGTCAGATAAACAGGAAATGTCTTGAAATTAAAATGAAAGGGATTGGATTAGTTCTAGTTTTATGAACATCTTTAACCACTTTTTAAGGGAATTTAAAATCTGTTGAGCAGGTTCTACTCTGAAAATTTGTACAATTAGAAAAGAAATTCTGAAATCAGTCTCATCTCCAGCAAGAAACATTCTCAAGGTATGAAATAGTGTAACCACTTATTAAATACATATATAAAGACTTATTAATAACTTATCTTTGTTCCAAAAAACCTTAAATTTTAAGTTTAGGAGGACACATTTCAATTATTATTTTTTTAAATTGATGGAGAATGAAATTGTAATTTGAAAAATTAATAGAGAAGAGGGGAAAGATTTTAGATAAACTGACATCATTCATGTTTGTAAAAGCTTCTCAATCTTATTTCCTGAAGTTCTACTCTCGTTATAGACTATATAATGTTTCTCAAATATATAACCAATGCATTCGCATAGGAAAAGGCTGAGTGAATGTTCAGCAGCCCAGACCTGGACACCTGGTGGGACGTGTCTTTTCACTACAATTATTCTTCAGGTGTAAGAATAATGGGAACATTTACAAATCCTGCCTCATTTTATTGAATAGATATTGTCACCAAGCACTGTGCTTCAGCTTCTTTAAGAGATGATTACTCCTTTTTCAGTTTGTTGTAATTAAGAGAAGATCATTTATATTTCTTGTCTGATGTAACAGTAATAGCCAGAGGAGTTCCATGTCCATTGTTTCTCCTGTCTTGAAGTGTAAATAGGTGCTTAAGGAAGAACTGGGTGTGGCTGTGGCCCAATCATCCTGCTCCAGCATTGCTTGGCAAAGCTGTGAGGTCATTACCTACAGATGGGATATAGGTAGTTGGCTGAGGTGGGAGAGCTGAAAGACAGAACCATACGCTGATTCTCAGTGTAATGATAGTCTAGCTCACTCCATGGCCAAAATATCAGTGAGAAGACCACAGCCAAGCCTGCAGAAACCAGGAAAAGAAACTGAACTTAACTGAGTCTTTATTTGGTATCTGTATTCCTACTTCTCTCTTTTCTATTCTGTTGTTGTTGTCAGTGTATTCTTAAGATTACATTATTTTTATATTAATGCATTTTCTTTACTGTGAACTTGCATCCGTTATATTTTATTCTATAGATGCGGAACAACTCATTTTGTTGAAAAACTCAGCTGTTACAAGTGTACAAAATAGTTCATGTAATTAATTCAAAATAGATAGTAGTTTCCTATTGGTGCAGTCATAGCCATTGAAAGTACATGATTGAATCCCTTGGAAATGGGAAAGAGTCATTTGAAACTCCTTTCCTGAAATCCTTTACTGCCTTTCTTGATCACAGAATCGTAGAATGTCTTGAGTTGGAAGGGACCTTAAAGATAATCTGTTTCTAATTTCTCTGCATTTAATATCTTATAAAGTCAGATATAGAGATATTTCAGCAGCTTACATGCTGTTTTTGTTTTTTTTTTTTTTCACTTTTTATTGTACAATGATAAAACAGCTTTGTTTCCTAATTATCACACTTCTATAAATTCTGCTTATTGGTGTCCTTTCATATGTATGTATTTATTTATGAAAATATCGTTGGTTATATTCAAAGGCACTGTGCTAATTCTAACATGAAATCAATTTTCCATATATCTTAAGTATAAAGATAGAAAGAGTAAAAGAAAAGGATGAGCACGAGAGTGAACATTCTGTTTCTGTATTTATGTTGGTACGAACTGTTCCAAAAACATCCAGATTTTTATTTCTTTCCTCAAGAGAGATAAGAAGTTTTACAGAAGACAATATCCAACCATTCACTACCTTGTTATTTCAGTTCAGCTTAAGTAATGGAGGCATGATCATTCCACTTCCGGACAGAACAGTCTTTGAAGAAACTGTAAGGAAGACTTGTGCAAATAATGGAAATTTTGGTTCAGTGGCTTTGCATTGCAAGGTGAAGAAGGTGCAAATATCTTTAAGGTAGTAGTTGTCTTAAGAATGAGTAGGTGTATTCAGTGGGTACATTCCTAATACTTTTGGAGTTAAAAGCAGTTTATAAACAAAACCGTATTTAAGTTGAAGTATATATTTTTAATGTTAACAATTTTTTTTTAAAAAAGGATATTATAAACAACTACCTGTTTGCTTCTTTTCTGTGTGATGGTCTTTTAGGATGGTATTTTTTTTCGTGACACTGCTCAGATTCAAGAACTTGTCTCCTCAATTTTATACTTCTATAAAAATGTATTAATTCCAGCAGTCTTTGGTTGTATCTACTTAAAACTACTTTTAGAGTTAGAAGTTAGGTTAGTCATCAACAGACCAAGAGATCAGAGTAGCTGAATAGCTCTGCATTACATTTTGGAAGAATTTGTAGCTGAATTCATTGATATAACATATGTCTTGTATTACTGGAATGGGTGTAGAGATGTATTGCTGAGTATTTCTGACGTTACCTAATTTTGTTCCATTTACTTTTTTTTTCATTTACATTTCTGTACTCCAAAAAATAAGTCAAACTATTTTTTGCTAAGTTACACTGTGATTTTTATGACTTATTATCTCGTACAGCAATGAAATGCATATGAGTAAGTTCTAAACAGTCTGCATTTCAGAAGGAAAATATTTTCTTTGGAGCAGATGCTTAAAACATTGTACGAAAATGTTCCTTCTTTCTACAGTGTAAATAAAAGATTTACAAACAAGCCATTTCTTTGAAATGGCTATGACCACCAGTACTATTTCTATGCAACACAGGAAAATAAAATTGCCTTTTATTTAAAATAAGTAATGAGTGTTTAGAGGAGATTTATTCCTTCAAATTAAGTGTTCTGTTGCAGTCTTAAAATGGCTCCAGTGTTTATTAGCTTGTTTATGCAAAATCATGAATAATTGCTTATCCCATCACTCTTCCTACTATGTTTTTGATATTTATTCAATAGTGGCTATTTTTCATTTGATAAGTGTGTGAAAAACTAATAAAATATTAGACCCTGTCAGTAATGCTTAGAATATTTCAATAAAGTAAAATCTGTGAAGTAATCCTTCCCAACAGTTAACACTAGTTACGTCATATTATTCTGAAGTAATTATAATTAATCTCTGCTGTGAATATTAGTGGTGTATGAGTTGTGATCCATTAAAAAAACTCCTCTTCCACATAAAGAAATAATATTTAATTAACTGAAAAATGAGCCTTCATTTTTTGAGAAACAAAAATAAGCATTTTTGAGAAACAAAATATGCGACCCAGCATAACTGCAATAACAAAATTTAAATGGAAGTTCAAACTGTGAATTACAAAGCTCAAACATTACTATTTGGAAGTGGGTTGGCAAGGCTTGGAATATGGAGGCAACAAAGAAGAGGAAGAATAAATATTGTCATTATTTACCTTAGTTCTGTTGCACTTGTTTGCTTCAGTATTAGCTGGGCATTCTCTCTCTCTCTCTCTAACATGCACATTGTATTACTAAGCTTTTTCAGTCCTGAAAAAATACTTGTAAGGACATTTAAACATCAGAAACATCTCTCTTTTATAAATTAAAATGTGTATTTTGTCTCGTAGTTACAACTCAGTGATAAGATTTGGACTCCACCTTTCCTTTTAGATGTTCCAATCAGTCTAAATGAGATTCTTCAGATACTGAACTTTAACAAACTTGAAATGTGAAGGAAAATAACTTTTCTGTCTATCAGTACTACATACCAAATGTTATGTTTCCATTGTTTTATTATAGATCAGCAGATAGCAGCTTGCATAGAGGCTCGAGCTTACCCTGGAGTACCTGAAGGTAATTTTTGTTATTATTATTGTTTTTTTTTTAATCTTCTTTTATTAGTGTCTTCTCAAAAATACCAGAAAGACAGCTAAAAACAATTTTAAAAAACAAAAGAGGAATTTCCTGCCTGAACTATATATGGGTCAGTGTAGATAGGCATTAATTGTAAGTTAACAGTCCTAGTCCTTAGCCATCTGGGGCCTGATCCAGAGCCCACTGACGTCAATGGGAACCTTTTCACTGCCTCCATTTTGGCTCTAGTCCTAAATTTCTGTGGCAAAATATGATGCTGTGAACTAAGCTGTCACAAAAAAATGTACTGCAACTCTTCAAATCTCAAAATAGCAGAGAGTATAGAAAGAAACAATGTAAGAATTGAATTGCTGTTGTTCCAAGATGCTCAAACAGAAATATTAGTACTGCTTTTACATCCAAATTAGTGATTTTTCTCTATAGAAAAGTTAACTTATATCAAGCACTTAAGTTTTGCACAGGGAGAACAGATTCATTTTAAAGCCATGCTGTGGTGGTACTTCTTAAGCAATTCTAACATGATGAAGATAGTTTCAATGAAATAAAAAGAGTGGTGAAATAATGCTTATGCTTCTCAGTGGTAAGCTTAGTACAAGGGTTAAAGCCAAATACTTCTCTTTTCAGTTGTCATAGAGTCACTTATAAAAAATAAAGTACATATTTTCCCTAGCAGTTTCTGAGTAAAATGATGCAAGTAGTCATAAAATTTAAGGATAGCATGGATTATTTGGAACTTAACTTTATGAATACTATAGAATTTTATGTAGTATTCCTCCTTATTTTCTTTTTACTCTGAAATTCTTAATGACTCATCTGAATCTGTGCTTGAAGTAACCGAGTACAGCATGATTAGGCTGATACATGCAATCTAATCTGTCTTTCTGACTGCATAAAGAAACATTAACTAACAAGGCTTGTTCCACATTAAAAAAAAAAAAAAAAAAAAAGAGTGAAAGAGGGGCAAAATGAAAAAAAGAAAAAACACAAACACCTGGATTGTCAGGTTTCTGTACAATTTTGTGAAAGTGACATAAAAATCGTATTATTTAAGTAATTATTGACTGTTTTTTTCAAGTGAGGACAGTGCAAGGGCACAACACTGCACATTATAACCTGATGTAGTTATATCCGTGTGAATCTTATGAGTTATGAGGAACAAAACGAAACACTTTAAATTTCATCAAATTTCATTATCCTCCATTTACCCTACATAAATTCCATATAAAGATCAGTAATAGAAAATGAGGAGACATAGTAACACAGTACCTCTTCCTAATGAATGATGTTTCCATATACTGCCTGTAAATAATCCTTTTTTTTTTTTTTTCTTTCCTTTTTTTCCTAATTTTATTCACTTTCAGGGTGATGGTTGCTTTTTGGTTTGTTTGTTCTTTTTGCAAGATTTCATTCACCAGCTGTGCAAGCTACATACAGCAGTGCTGCTTCTAAGATAACACCTCAGCAAGCACTTTTTTTCCTTTCACATCTTAGCCTGCCTGGCCCATTTTATACTAGAAATAGCTCAGATGCAACTGTTGAGCATGACCAATTAATCTCCAGCTCAGACCTTTCTCAGAAGTGCAAACTCTTCTTATTGAGAGCAAGGACTTCAGCTTCTGTGGCTTCAGAAGAGATCTACAGCGGCCAGTTTGCAGAAATAATATCTCCCAGTGATTGTTTTCACTGTGGCACTAAGAAATATGCAGGGCCAAGTAGCAATTTTTTTTTTTTTTTTTTTTTTTAATATGCAACACAGAGAAGTAATCACAGTTTACAGAGGAAGCATTTCATAGAAACAAAAGGGTTGATTTTTATTATTATTTCTTTTTCTTTTTTTAGTGGTTGCTCTACATTACCACAAAATATTGACTATAAAGATTCCCTTTTCCCTGGCAGAAGCTAAATTCAACCATATAAGGAGTTCACTGTCTCTAATCCAACAGCCAGTGTTTGTTTTATCATGATGTATATGAATATATACAAGATTATGGTTATATCCTAAAACAATAGAGCTACAAGTAAGCCTACAGCTTTTATTTTGAAAAGTAAATGCGAATAATTCCCAAAAGAATTACAGCAAGCATAGATTCTGTAGATGTCAGATAATAGTCTACAAGTCTCTAAGTAATTAAATATGTTGATCTACAACTTTTAAACTAAAGTATGCAACACTGAAAATGCAGTATATTGATATGAATTCCAAGGACTCTAACTGAAACTACAGGAAAATCACAACTGATTGAGGGCTTTTTGTTTTCAAGCTAGCTAGTAGCGTATGAAATCAAACTTGATTGCTCAGCTTGATGTTCCACTTGTTTTTAATCTGTCAGTGAACAGCTGTATACATGCAAAATATTGTGGTGAAAGTACTTCAGTGATTTATTCAGTGTTACAAAATATAAAACTAAAAAGAAATACTAAAAACAATTGATTTTATGGGATAACAGAGTGATTTTAAAATCAGAAGTATTTTGAAGAAGATGATATTGAATACGTCAGAGTTGTTTCAATTCCTGAAGAGATGAATGTAATGTTTTTCTCTGTTTCATTGTTTTTACGGACTCAATTCGTAAACAATCGTATTAGTCTTTGCAGGTCATTCTTGATGAATAAGATTGGCAGAGCCTTAATCATCTTCTTCCTTGTATTACTTGGTATGAACTGACGTGATAGGAGTCAACTATGTTCTTTTTATACTGGGAGGTTCCCAATTGTCAGCTTTGCTATTATTTAGTTGCAGACTAATTGTCTGTCCAAATATTGGAGTCAATGTACTACAGAGTGGCTTTTCCACTTGCATTCAAAACAAGTAATCTACATCAGGTATGACAGCAGTTCAGATATGTGAGTGGAATATAATGAGGATATTTTGCGTATTCCACAGATATTTTCTTAGCTACACATTTTAAACAAATTTCATCTACCTCCTTTCATTAAAAACACATTATCAAGGCCTTGTTTCAGAGTTGAGTTACTGGTCAATTTTTGAAATGACTTTATTTTCAGTAAACTGTTTCTATCTAGTTGAAAATGGTTAGGAAAGTTTGAGTTTGTCAAAAGTAAAGAAATTACAGCTTAGAAACATTTTCTTCTCAGGTTGCCTTGTGTTGATGAAATTTGACATTCATCAGGAAACAAGCTCAATGTGAACTGAAGATAAGTAGGTAGATTTTTAAATGATTTTTAAGAGACAGCATGAGTAGATATCAAAAGCACAAACAAATAAAGTCGATTGAGATATGTGTAGGACATGGGGAAATGGTTTTATGTTTAGGGAGGGAAGATTTAGGTTGGCTGTCAGGGGGAAATTCTTCACCCAGAGAGTGGTGAGGTGCTGGAACAGGCTGCCCAGAGAGGTTGTGGATGCCCCGTCGCTGGAGGTGTTGAAGGCCAGATTGGATGTGGCCCTCGGCAGCCTGGTTTAGCATTAAACGTGGAGGTTGGTGGCCCTGCATGTGGCAGGGGGGTTGGAGATTCATGATCCTCGAGGTCCCTTCCAACCCTGGCCATTCTGTGATTCTGTGAGATTTTATGAGCAGAAGATAAACCAAAAATAAATTATATGGAAAAAATAAGATGTTTCACTTATGATTTTAAATGTTATTAGATAAATCATAATAGATGAAAAAGCTTCAGTATATCCTGAATCATTCAGTTCTCTCAAATGTGTGAAGTGATGAAACGTGGTAACATATGAACCTTGTTTCTCTGCAGCTTTGTGTTTCAGGCACTCATTTGTTATTGTCCACGGTGCTTTTCTATAATTTCTGAATATATTATAAATTGTGAGCTCTATAACTGCTAGCTAGAAACAGTCACTCACATTTCTATTAATATATTATGACATTGATCTTCAAATACATAATTTATTCTTTTCACAATATGTCATTCCCTTACTTTTAATTCTTTTCATGACAAGCATACTTTTAGACATGGCATGGATCTATACGTTCAAAACACTGACTCTTTACAGAAATGTCTTCAGTATTATACAAGGCAATATTTTCAATGTGAGATCTTTTATATGGAAGAGTAAATGTGAGATTCTGATGTTTAAAAAATGTAGTACGTCACTCCTAACCAAGACTCAGGTGCATTTGAAGTAGAATGCAAAAACAGGGAAAACATCCGATTTAAGTAAATTATGAACGAAAATTAAAATTCCACCATAGAAAGCAATTAAAAAAGAAAATCTCGAGATGACAATAGAATAGGGTAAGACAACAGAAGTATAATAGAAAAGGAAAAAGGAAGCCACCTTCTCTCTCTCTCTTCTTCTTTTTTTTTTTTTTTTTTTTTTTTTTTTTTTTTTTTCTGTAGCACTAATCGCATTCTCTCTTCATGTGGATTACCTGCTGACACTGATTCTCACCACTGTTTTTTTTACCAGATATTTCTGTCCATTTTGTTTTCCTACTTTTCTCTACTGGCTATTTTACTCAGACAGTTCTTCATTAGGATTTCTTGCCATGTGGTAAGCATGGAAAAAGTATACTTACGTAATCTTTAACTAAGTTTGGAGTATTATTTGCATACTCTAGTCATCATTCTCACATTAATGAAGCAGGCACAAATTAAATCCAGTATTCAAAAAGTCTCAGGGTGAAATAGGTATATATATATTTTTAGGTGGTAAGTACTCTTGTGCTCTTGTCAATGCTTTCTTCCTTACTGCCAGGATGACTACTCAAGCAGTTTTCATCTGAGTGACTGAATTCTTCAAGCACTGTAAAAAAGAGACTGAAATCTTACTCCTGATGAACATTCCCAGTCAGATAATGGGACTTCATTATAAGCCTGTACTGATTTATCCAGCCTACAAACAAGTTTGCTTGTATATATGACCATAAGGGATTAGTCATGTATACAATTTTGCTATAAAAAATGTCTTATAACTTGACTCTGAATTAGAAGACCTTTAATTGTCTTCCAAAGATTTATCATATGGATTTGCTGGCTCACAATTTTACACCTTTTGT